AAAGATCGGCTGCTATGTCTTGCTTTAGAACGAGCTAGTGAAAGGGGAAATGGGCCGAGTCCAATTAGCCGCGCCCTTCAGGCGTTCATTTGCGAACGGGTGTAGGATCCGCTGCTATGTCTCGCTTTAAGCAAGAGCGAGTGACCCTCACGTCAGATGAAACGTGCTACTGGGTCTGCCTAGTAGCGTTCTGTTTGTTTTTTCTTTGTTCATTCGATTCTATCGATTTTTCAACAACTCGTTCGTTTGTTTTTCTTACTTATTTTTTATAAAAAATATTCTACAAATTAACAATAATTCTTATTGGTGATATAAAAAATGCTCATGCAATATAAAAATTTGTTCGCACCAATTTACAAAAATGCCCATACCATTCAAAAAATGTTGAACGGGTATTCGAGAAAATGTTCAAAAAATGTAATTTTAAAAAAGGCATCATCATGTGTTTGAAAAATGTTCACCACATATACTAAAAATATACAACATGTATTCAAAGAAAATGTTCAAGGTGTACTTATAGAATATTCAAGATTTATCAGAAATATACTCCACATGCTTCGAAAAAATGTTCAGCGTGCATTTGGAAAATGCTAAACATTTACTTAATAAAGTATTCAAACCTATTTTTGAAAAAAATGGTCATCGTGTATTTTAATAATATTTAACATGTATAAAAAATGGTCAGCATGTATATAAAAATCTATACAATGTGTATTTAAAAAAATGTTTACCATGTATTTGTAAAAATGTTCAAGGAGTGTCTGAAAAACCTTTCACATGTATTCAAAAACATTTTAACGTGTATATAAAAATTGTTCAACATATATTTGAAAAAACATATTCAAAAAATACCCAAACAAGTTTTTTTTATAAATGTTCATCATGTATTTTAGAAAAATGTTGAAGGTGTATTTGAAAAATGTTCCACATGTATTAAAAAATGTTCAACATGTATTCACATTTTTTAACATCCATTCAAGACAATATTCAAATTTGTTTTTCAAAAATAGTCGTCATGTATTTTAAAAATATTCAAATTGTGTAGCAAAATGTTCAGCGTCTATACGAGAAACAGATAATGTGTATTTTACACTGTCAACATGTATTTGAAAAAATATAAACTAAAACTAAATGTGCAAAATAAAGATAAAAACAGTGAACAAAAACACAGAAATAGAAAAAGAAGAAAAGCACGTGAAACCTTCCCAAAATCGGCATGCACACAAACCATGGAATGACTTAAAATCAGTTGTGTGTCGCTTCAACATGACCTAAAATAACATTTAGGTATGTAGTGTGTACAAAGTCAAGCTACTGAAATCAGAAAATGATAGGTATGTGTCAAGTTCATGTGATATTGGTTTACAAAAATGTTCAGTTTTGAACATTTTTTGAATAGTTTTCCTAATCCTGTTGTACCCTCAGTTTTGAATAGTAGTGTTGTTGAAAACCTCATTTTGAAGGAAATATACCCTAGAGGCAATAATAAAGTTGTTATTTTATATTTCCTTATTCTTGATAAATGTTTATTATTTATGTTAGAATTGTATTAACCGGAAACTTGATACATGTGTGAATACATAGACAAAACACTGTGTCCCTAGTATGCCTCTACTTGATTAGCCCGTTGATCAAAGATGGTTAAAATTTTCTAGCCATGGACATGTGTTGTCATTTGATGAACAGGATCACTCATTAGAAGAATGGTGTGATGAACAAGACCCATCTGTTAGCTTAGCGTAATGATCGTTCAGTTTTATTGCTACTATTTTCTTCATGTCAAATATATATTCCTCCGACTATGAGATTATGCAACTCCCGGACACCGGAAGAATGCCTTGTGTGCTGTCAAACATCAGAACGTAACTGGGTGATTATAAAGATGCTCTACAGGTATCTCCGAAGGTGTTTGTTGGGTTGGCATAGATCGAGATTAGGATTTGTCACCCTGAGCATCAGAGAGGTATCTCTGGGCCTCTCGGTAATGCACATCATATGAAGCCTTGCAAGCAATATGACTAATGAGTTAGTTGCGGGATGATGTGAAAGTGCTAGTTATCGACTAGAGGGGGGTGAATAGGCGATTTTTATGAAAGTCTTCAAAACATGATGGCTTTGAAGACAAACATGTAAACTGAGCCTATATAGTAAGCAGTGGAATGAAGACTACACTAGGCAAGCATTAGTCCAGCATACAATATAGGGAAAGCACGAAGACTAACTGCAACTAGGTAGACAGGATCAGTATGGAAGATAGTACGAAGCTAAACAGATAAGAGTCTTCACACAATGAAGTCAAATGAATCAGGCAGGCAAGCAATGACTTCACGAAGACAAACTGTAAAGCAAGGAGAGAAAGGGATAGAACCAGTTGCTTGGTGGAGACAAGGATTTGGTAGACCAGTTTCAGTTGCTGTGACAACTGTACGTCTGGTTAGGGAGGCTGAGATTGAACTCGGAAGATTGTGTCCTCACCTTATCCCCCTTGAGCTAAGGACACCCAGTCCTCGCCCAATCATTCTGGTAAGTCTTCAAGGTAGACTTCCAAACTTTCACATACTTCGTTCACCGGTGATCCATAATGACTCTTGGATGCTCAGAACGCGACGCCTAACCGGCTGGAGGATTCATAGTCCTCAAGTGTAATAAGTCTTCAGGTCACTCGGATAGAAAGACTTCAGTGATGCCTAACACTCTTTGGCTCTGGGTGTTTTGGGCTATGTCCTCGTAAGGATTTCTCTCTCAAATGCTTCGGAGGTGGGTTGCTCTCAAATGACAGAAGCTGTGCACTAACTCTGAGCAGCCACCAATTTATGGTGTAGGGGGTGGGCTATTTATAGCCAGGAGGCAATCCGACCTGATTTGTCCAAAATGACCCTGGATCATTAAGGAACTGACACATGTCCAATGGTCATATTTCAAACACACGTGGCAGCTTAGCTTGGGCTACAAGCAAAGCTGAGTCATCCAGCTTTGGATAAGATTTGCTCTCATTGTCTTTGCTTGAAGACATAGGATTTGGTTGAGCATCACTTCAGTCACTCTGACTTTGTTCACTTGGACCCCACTTAAGAGTATGGTGGTTCCTATGACTCAATAAGAAGAAAAGGAAACTACGAAACAACT